CTCCACAAGCATGTAAAGAGGTAGCAGATGTTTTTATTTTTCATGTCGACAGTTTTAGCCGATACATAGCAAAAATGTTTTCATGAATATGTTCACAACAAGCTTCCGAAGCAATACACTGTAACGATGTGCTGCAATAATGATTTTAACACTTAAGGCAGTTTGTTATTGAAACACTACAGGTTATGATAAAAAGGCAATTCTAATAACTTTAAGTTAACATTTTGTGTGCTTTCTGTTTGTAATCATCTCACATCAAAAGAGAAAGGAAGGAAAAATACATCACCTACACAGGCCCTCCATTTATGGGCCTGGACTCAATCCCTATACAGAAGACATTTAAATATAGATATCAAACTAAATATGAAACTAAATAGAATATAAACTCTTGACAATAGCAAAGAAAAAGGCTGATATCCTTTCCATCTTCCCAGTAGCGTTGGTATTTTGCATGCTGCGAATGAGTTTTATTGCAAACAGTACAGTATGGGTCCCAGTTAGAATAAAATTAAGCTTGTGATCCAAACTTATGCCATTTCTACATCGGGATAAAGGTTTACACAACCTCCTTTTATTCTAATAGGTCTGCTGCACACAATAGTAAGGCATCAGAGTGCTTTGCTTTCTATGGAGGAGACTGGAGGACTTTACTTTTTTTAAAATGCAGTGTCTCAAAAGAAAATCTGTGTGTCCTGAAAAAACATGAGTTAGTCCTGCAGCTTGTGTCACACAGCAATGAGGGAGACAATGATTTGTTGTCCTTTTAAAACAACAAACAACAAAATCACTAGTCTTCCATGCTGCTGTGGACTTCCACATCCATACAGTTAAAGGATTCACTTCTTTCACCCATCAAGCAGCTTCTTTAACTTCAAATACAATCATTTTCGTTCCTGATGCAAAAAGCATCAGTTAAACAATCACAGGGTTAAGCAGCTAAGTACATCTGAATAAAACACAGTTAACTCTGTTGGGTTCTTCTAGGCTTGATGTGTCACTGCCAAGTTTTGGGCCATACTCAAGGTGGCCTCCTTGAGCTAACATACAATCCAAATCTTCCTGTAAAGACAGGCGCGGGCTGAAGGAGCTTTCAGAGAAACCTCCTTCAACCCAAAGTTTGCTCAGTTGAAGGCCGGAGCTTCACAGCAGAACTGG